CCCTGCTGCTGGCGGCTGCGGCCCTGGTCCTGGGGATCGGTGTCTTCGTGGGCCTGAGTCGGGCCCAGGCCCTGGGGCTCCTGGGGGGCAGCAGCGGCTGAACGGCTCAATAAACGTGTTCCCAAGCTCTCTGTGCGGAGCAGACTCTTTCTCGTCCCCGAAACCTGTCCCTTAGGCCGGTGCCGCCCTGGCAGCCGCCTGTCTCACACGCTGGGGCCAGTCGGTTCCCCGCGTCTGGATTTGGGAGGCTCGTTGGCTGGGCCTCTTGGCGAGGAAAGGTGGTTTTTGGGGGGGCGGGCACCTCATGGTAGAGGAAGGTGAAGTTGGGCGTCAGGGGCCCCAGGAGCTGGGAGTCAGCCCGCGGGGCTCGTGGCCTAGGGGCGACCCAGGGGCCCTGGGGCCAAAAGAACCGAACCGCCTTGAACAGCTGCTCCCCGTCCTGCTGAGCCCCAGCTCCCCTCCAGGCTGTGGGTGACTTTTCTGGGCGCCAGCATCCTCCTCGGCCCCACACCCAGTCACACGGGAACACAGGCCCCGACAGTCATGCTGGCCTGGCTGGTGGCGGTGGAGCCAGGCTGGCTGCCCTTAGAGGACAGGCTTCTGGCTCCAACCCAGCATCTCCCTGTGCGTTCTAAGCCAATGGCATCTGCACGAAGGCGCTGCTATCAATGGCATCGGTGCTGTGTAAACCAAGTGCGATTCTGTAGATACCGATCAGAATCATGTAACCAACTCTAACTTTTTAACACACTCGTTCTCTGTGGTGCGGTTAGCGGTGTTTCTGACGGAGGCCCAGCCTGCTGTTAAGGATGACAAGTGCTGCTCACATCGTATCAGCATGTCACTCTCTGCACCCTTTTTCCTGGAAGAGATTCTTAGAGCCGCTGGGTCCAGAGCGGCGCCTTCCGACGCCCGGGCTCTGGGGGGTCGTGGGCCTGGCCCTGGCCTGTCCATGGCAGGTGGCGCTGCCGACTGAAAACGGGCCTCTGATCGGAAGCATCTCCTGGCCACGCATGAGCCGCCGCTTCTGTCTTTTGCGTACGCCACCGCGCGTCTCCCGTCCATAGAGAGCGCTCACCAGTTCAGGGGTCGACAACCTCATCTGACACGTCCCGCGGGGCTGGCCACTGGGTTTCTGGGGGGGGGAGGGGCTTGTTGTGGAAGAAGCTATGTAACGAGTATTTCCCCTCGTGCTTTTATCTTGGAACATAGCAAGCTCTTCCCCTGCCCCTCTTCTCGCGATACACCCGTGACAGTGTACGTGTCCCTCCTGCCAGTGTATTGAGGTGCAAGATTTTAAAAAATTGTTATTAATTTTAGAGAGGAAGGGAGAGGGAGAAACACCAATGATGAGAGAGAATCGGGGATCGGCTGCCTCCTGCACGCCCCACACTGGGGATGGAGCCCGCAATCCAGGCCTGTGCCCTGATCGGAAATGGAACTGAGACCTCCTGGTTCCTAGTGGATGCTCAGCCCCTGGGCTGCCGGCCGGGCCGACGTTGGGAATCGATGTTTAAGTTGTGCACGGGTTTCTCTCAGTCCTTCCGTGTCAAACACGGGTGCAGCCGAGGTCCCCCAGCTCTGCGGAGGCAGGGCATGCTCCGCTTTCCTAGATGCTGAGACCTCACCCCGATCCTGCCCAACTCCAACCTTCTGGCCCCACACCGCCTCCCAGCACAGCAGCACCTGAGCCCTGGGGACCTGAGTCAGACCCGATGGGGTGATAACAAACCACGCCGCTGACCTGCGGCAGGAAGCAGGGCTGGGGGCCCGTCAGGTGGGTCTCTTCCTGCCTTTTCGGGGGCGGGGCCCGGGCAGTGGCTGTGAGGGGAGACCACGGCTCCCGGCCGTCTCCCCAGGCTGCTTCCTATACACCGTGGCTGAGAGCAAATGGACACAGG